CCCCAATATATGTAGTTAAGCTCACTTCTTTTTAGCCCTGAAAGCTGTTCCCTTGCCTGCGTGTATCACAGTTTATTTATCCTCTCACCTCCTGAAGGACATCTCGGTTGCTTTCAAGTTTTGACAATCAGGATAAAAGTTGCTATAAACACCCACGTGCAGATTTTTGTGTGGATCTAAGTTTTCATTTCTTTTGGATAAACGCTAAGAAGAATTTTTTCTACAGCACAATCCTGCCCTCCTGGCCACAGATGATTGGTACCAAGAGTGGGTACCTGTCCCAAGTTGCTTCCACCAGCCTTTCCTAGGAGATGGGCAGTGCGATTGAAAGTAGGTTAGTTTCTCCAGGGAGCTGGACTTGTACCAAGTTAACCGGCAGCTGTGGGTGGATGTTTTCCACGTAGCACATGGATCAGGCAATGAAAGGAAGTCCTTCCACAGAGATGCATAAAATGAATGAAACAGCTGCTCAGAGGAACACAGATGAACAAAAAGAGGGAGAAACTTGACTGCATTTTCAATTTCTGGTTCTTGTCTTTTCCTGGAGTCCAAATGCATTCTTGGTCTTGGACCCTGTGCAAAGTGCTGAATGTTTGTAATATATATATATCAATACTACATATATGTATAATATTAATATATATTAATATATATGTATATATGGTCGCCACAGAAAAATATTTAAAAATTATATATAATATATATATTTTAAGTTTTGATTGAATTATCTCATTGGCTTTTATACTGCTAACTGAAGTAACCCTAACCAATTTTCTCACTTGAAATTACTAAGCATTTACGCAGCTTGTGTAAGATTGGTTCGATAAGCCCATTTACTAGCAGTGAATCAGTTCTCACTGCATTTGTGAAATCAGGTTTATAGATCCGAAAAGAGGAGGCCTGGGACCTATAACCAAAGTACTAGGACAATATATTATCCTTGAGAGGTTTGATGGGTGAACGATCAGCCTGTTTATTCAGATAATCTTCACGTCCTCCTTATTAAAACAGATGACTTGAGGTGATGTAATCAAGATGGCAACATAGATCATTCCGGACTTCAGTCCCCTTCCCAGCACCACCAACTAGCAACCCTCCATAGACAGACACCATTGTAAAAACCCCCGAACCTGGGGGTGAGGCTGAAGAAGCCCCGCTGGGACGCAGAGACTGAGAAGCTCGGCTTCCCCACAAAGTACGAGGAGGTCTCACTCTGACCACACTGCCCTGCCCCACGCCAGCACAGGGTGGGGCCAAGAGGCCCCCCGGGCCTTCTCCAGTAGGAAAAGAGACTCCAGGGTGGACACCCAGCTCCCCCAGCATTGTGGGGTGCTGCCTAGGAGACCCACTCAGGTCTTGCCTCATGGGGATTTCTAGCAGAATTAAGGGCTTGACTGCTGGGGATTAGATAGAGTACTGAGAAGAGGGGCCAGTGCTCAGATTTGGGGGGATGGTATTCCCGCTTGCAGTGGTGCTCCAGCAGAGACCCCAGCTAGTGTCTCTGCTCTCTGCAGAGCTGAGTCAAGAGCCCCGCCCAGCCATACAGCTCAGGTGGCAGGTCGACTCATTTGTATTCTCAACGAGGGGCCATAGCAGCCATGGAGGCTGTTTTAGGGCCCTGGCAGGTAAAAAACTTTGCAGCCCCACCTATCATAACCTCTAGTCTCACCCAACCAGGTGAGGCCTGGCTGGAGAACCCACCACAGAGGCTGTCTTACAGCCGCACTCAAGCAGGGAGCCCAGCTCATTGCCCTGCCCAACTGCTGAGCATAGGTTCTGGCCCTGCATAACCAGGGGGCCTGAATAGAGACCTGGAGCAGCCTCAGAGTCGAGCCAGTAACCCCATTGAATCACAAAGCATAGCCTGTGGCCCCACCAGACCAGGAATCTGACAGTAACCCTTGCTATCATCAGAACAGTCTCTAGCCTCACCCCATGGAGGCCCTGCCTGACTAAGCCTTGTCAGAGACCTCACCCAGCAGTGCATCACCCTGCCAGGGAACACAGCCTCCAACCTTGCTCAACCAGAGGTGATTGTAGAGGCCGACTAGCAGCTCCATCTGACTGCAGAGCATAGCCAGCAGCTCTCCCGAACCAGAGAGCCCATCTAATGGCACCTCCCTGACTTCAGAGCACAGGCAGTGGCTTTTCCAATAAGAGACCCACTACCAAATCTCACCTCCTAGCAGATGCTGGCAGCTGACCCATCTAGTACCTGAGCTGAGTGGTGAGTGTCTTTCCCTGCCAACATGAGCCAGAAAAGTCTGGAAGGAAAGACCAATAACTCAAACAGGCCACTAACCTTCAGAGTCCAATAACTGACCCCAAAGAAATGGATATCTATGAGCTGTCTGACAAAGAATTCAGAACAATCCTCCTAAAAAAGATCAGTGAACTACAAAAACACACAGCCAAATGAAATTAGAAAAACAATGCATGAAAAAAACAATTCATCAAAGAAATAGAAACCATTGAAAAAAAAATAGACCCGGAAGTTCTACAGCTGAAGAATACAATGACTAACCTGAAGAATTCAATAGAGATCTTCACCTATAAACTTGATCAGGTGGCAGGAAGAATTGGGGAACTCAAAGACAGGTCATTTGAAATGACCTAGTCAGGGAGCAAAAAAAGAAAAAAGAATGGAAAAGAGAACAACTAAGCCCAAACTCAGCTCTGACATCTTCTCCTCTGGAAACCCTTGCTAATTCCCACGCCCTGCCCTTTCCTGATATAAGTTCGATTAGATCTTCTTCCCTATGCCTGTGACTATTTAGTCATCACGCTTATCACACTTCCTTGTGTTTTGTTGTTTATATATTTCTTCCCTACTGCACCATGAATTCTTAGCATGTAAAAAACATGTGTTTTTCATCTCTGTATGCTTAGCATGGAGTGTAGTGCAAGGTATGTATTGCCATTTACAGGCTGAGAGTGACAGAAGTCATGCCGAGTTGATCAAACTTCAGCTCTCTTACCAATAAAAATTATTTTGGAGGGAGTGACTTAGCTGTGTGGCCTCAGTGGCACATATAACTCGCCGCTATACTAGGCAGACTTACCATCCTGGCCACAGGCAGTCTGGACGACTGGCCCTGTGCAGCAGGGACAGACCGCTCTTGTAGGGATGATGGCTGGTTGGAGTGTGCTGAGGCCTGGCTGCCTGAAGGGAGAACACAGCTGGCACCACGCCACGCATCTCTGTTGCTCCTCCTAAATTTCTCAGTCGAGTAAGTCACATCTCCTTGATCATTTTCTTACTGAGGTATGGAAAGAAAACGTCTCCCTTTGATGAAAACAGAAAGAGTAGAGGATGTACACCCCCAACAGTCCGTAGCAGAGATCCAGCAAATAATGAATAATATTAATTGAAGATGAAATCAATGTAATAATCCTGTTAGTACCCAGCCATGAATCTCTTGTGTATTCTGTCAGCTTTTGCTGTAGTAACGAACTACATCAATGCCTCCTGGCTTACAATGTAAACTTTTCTTTCTTTCCAAGGCTTAGAGCGGCACATCAGCTGAGGTTTTTGCTGGGCTCACCATGCTTCCACTGGGCTTGGCTGGGTTCAAGTTTTCTCTGTCTTCTCCTTCTGGGAAGTGGGTTGAAGGAGCAGCCAGGCCAAATCATGCAACTGCAAATAAATGTCTGATTGGATGCAGCAAATACCCTGCATGCTTACATCCCCTTGGCCAAACTATGTCACACAGCCAAGCCAAAAGCCAGTGAATCAGGAACATCCATTCCTCCCAAAAGATTTTTGAGCAAGTCACCTGATAATGAGAAAGCATGTATAATTTTTTTTGTAGGAAGTGAGCCCATAGATGGAGGCAGTAATTACAGTAACTTGAAATAAGTTTCTTCTCCTCTTTGGGCCACATTTTCTTCATCCACAATGCATGGGAATGAAGAGTCCTTCTTTGGACTGCATATCCAGGCACTGTGTCCAGCCAAGCTGACACATAGAATTAACCATCTCAGCTTTCCCTACAGAAGGCAAGCTGCATATCGTTAGATATGGTTGGTGAGCCCTGTAGATCCCCTCTCTGCCTCATGCTGTAGTACCTCTCTCTCCAAACTCTTGCTACTGAGTTTAGATCTGGTCTGTTCCCTGATTGCTGCATGGAGCAAAAGGTGTTCATTTCCCAACAGAAGCTCCAGATCCATGCTCTTGTGAAAAATCTTGATTTTGGAGCCCCAGTGATAAAATGCTTTTCACATCCCTCTCCTTCCTAATTGTGCAACCCTTCACTCACCACCTCCTGAGTCAAATCTTATCCCCATTAGAATCTGTGTGGGTAGGTTTATGGTTTTTCACTTCATTACAGTATCTCATAATTTTTATGCATGTTACATTTCTGAGTATGCATGTATCAATTCTGTTATAAAAATAAAAGTGTGAGAGAGCTTAACAAATAATGTACAGCTTTTAAGCCCATGGAGAAGGAGGGGGGAAATGTTTTAATATGAAGGAAATGGGAAGCACAGACAAAGAGTTCTGAAGCAGCTTGGTGTTTGCAAAAACATAGCCTTAGACCCCGAGTTTAGAGGGCTCCACATTTCTTGTGGAATTTTATGCTTTAGTCCTTATGCTTTAAACTAGGCAAATTCATCCCACACAGGTCTTTCCAAGTCAATGAACAAAGCTGGGACATGTCCGTCTCTTCTTAATCCTAGAGACTCAAAGATTCAAGACATGCTGAAATTATGGTGGTTTATTCTCCTCTAATGGATAATCTGAATTGTCTACGGACTTCAGGTGCCAAGAACTGGCAGCTCCAATGTGCTAAAGGAAGCACTGGGAGAGAGAATAAATATCCTGATGTTGGGGTGAGTGGAGGAATTGCACCACAAGTGCCAGGTTCAGTGCTAGTGACCAGCAGTCCCCAAAGGCCCAGAAGCTACTTTGCATATGTCTATTTCCTATACTTCCTTTACAAACATCCCCCTGAAAGTAATTTCCTGTGATTTTGTTTTTCAGCTGTTTTGTGCTCACTTATTGGCACAGTGTGACAGTTTACATATGGAAGCTAGTATCTTTCGGATAGCTTGCCCTGTACAAATCCTCATATGCAACAACTGTCAGATGCTCTACTTGACCTGGGTGACAGCCCATCAGTCCCTGACTTCATGACATTTATGCAGCTTGTGACTACAATAGAGGCTGCTGAGAAATGAATGAAAGGCTGTGCTGATTAGACACAGTCAAGGAGACAACCCTGTCAAAGACGAAAACACGCCAAGTGAATTTCAGCAGGACTGTAGCCTGATGAGGCTCCCATCGAAGTCAGAAACTGCCTTTGGGAAACTTCTTCTGAGATCCGGGAGCTGTTGAAGAAGGCCCCGATGCAGAAATGTGCTTTATCTTCAAGTTGGGGAAACTGAACTAAATTGTCAAAAGGCTCATCTTCAATTTTCTCAGCCTTTGCAGGAGAGGAAATAGAGACCAGCCATTGGAAGGCTGGGTTCCTTCTTCTATTTCTGTAAGCTTGGGCTGCAGGTGACTTCCGATCCTGACTTCCCCAAATCTCTGCAAGCCGCTACCTCTTGACTCCGAGGTGAATTCTTTTTTCGGTGAGAGACCACCTCCGGCTGCAGCCCCCGACTTGCTCCCCATGCTGCTGAGGCTCTTGCTGTTGATGTGTGGTGAGTAGGACAGCTCAGAGCCAGGGGTGGGATCCCCCGACAGGGTCCCGCATCCTGGCGAGCTGCTGGCCTTCTCGGGACCGCATCCCTGCCTGGCGATGCTCAGCTGAGATCTCTCCCTTCAACCGAGGGCTCAGCGTCAGGCCGAAAGCAGTAAAGACTGGAAAGCCAGATTCTTGAGGGAAACTATCATTTCGGTTTTTATCTCATAGGAAGTCTTCGCTGTGTGTCTTTCTTTCCAGTACGAGTTCTGTCTTTGTGGTTGGTGTTTCAGTAAGACCGTTCATACAATGTGGCCTCTTAGTTCCCTGCCCTTCTTACTACAAACATTATTTCCCTTCGCCCCTCCTTCACCCTGATGCCCCCATTCTTACCATCAAGCCCTGTAATTTATCAGCAACAACTGCCCCACTTTCAAAATCTTTGCTTCCAGCATGCGCAACACCCCCCTTGCATTTCCAGTTTACTTTTGCTGGCACTCTGCCCCCAGCGGGTCCTCACCCCCCAGGGGTACTTCTTCCTCCTCGGTCAGTTACTGCTCCGTGTGGTCCCTCCTCACGGACTCAGCTCAGACTCTGCAGCCCATCAAACCCTCCAGCAGACACACCTTCCTCTCTCCCTAGCAGTCTCCCGGTCCTCACACTTGGCTGCGCGCTGCATGCTATGCCTACACGGATGAATGTGACTTTAGCAAAAGGCACAAGCCTGTCGACTCATCTCCCTTTGGATGCAGGACCGCAAACCTCAGGCGCCAGGCAATCCCTTTAACCCCATTCCTGATGACCACGATTCCGTGCTTTCTCCTTTCTCCTCAAACTTCCCCTTTCTTACTCTCAATTTTTGATCTTGCTTCTTATTTCCCTGAGGAAATACAAGCAAACAGAAGAAAATATCCTCATCCTTCTGCCCACCTGGGCGTTCACGTCCTCTGCCTTTCTCCCCCTCCCAGGGATATACCAGCCCTCACCCTTTCGAAGACAGGACTCTCCACCTGTACACTGGGTCTCAGACTCTCTCGCATTTTCAAAAGCTTTGCTCCATCATCCAAGTGCTTCGTCATTCTGATTTTTCCCATAAATATACAAACATGCTACAGTAACTTTTAAAATAATGGAAATGGGACCCGATAGTGTCCTCCATTGCTGTGCCATCTCTCTGTCTCCTCTATAAAGTTTTCAGCGAGTTGCTATCTTTTCATCCCTTCCCATCCTTTCTTTTTTTTTCAAATTCATTTTTAACATAGATGACAATAAGAATCACTTTTTCGACACACCATCTATGATTTTTTGACAAAGATTGACAGTCATGTGATCAATAGAACAATCAAAATACAGAACATTCCCTCACTTCAAAAATTCCCTCATGCCCTCAAGCCTCCCCCATTCCTAACTCCTGGCAACTACTAAACTGTTCTAGATTCTTATAATTCTTAGCCCTTTCTTTTTTTTTAAGGTTAAGGTATCATTGGTACACAATCTTATGAAGGTTTCACATGAACAAAATTGTGGTTTCAACATTCACCCATATTATCAAGTCCCCCCACCCCCTACTCCATCAGCATAGTAAGATGCTGCAGAGTCACTACTTGTCTTCTTTGTGCTGTACTGCCCTCCCCATGACCTACCTATATTGTGGGTGCTAATTATAGTGCCCCTTAATCCCCTTCTCCCTCCCTCCCCACCCACTCTCCCCACCCCCTTTCCTTTGGTAACTGCTAGTCCCTTCTTGGAGTCTGTGAGTCTGCTGCTGTTTTGTTCCTTCAGTTTTGCTTTGTTCTTATACTCTATAAATGAGGGAAATCACTTGGTACTTGTCTTTTTCCTCCTGGCTTATTTCACTAAACATAATATCCTCCAGCTCCATCCATGTTGTTGCAAATGGTAGGTTTTGTTTTCTTTTTATGGCAGAGTAATATTCCTTGTGTATATGTACCACATCTTCTTTATTCATTCATGTATTGATGGGCACTTAGATTGCCTCCATATCTTGGCTGTTGTAAGTAGTGCTGTGATAAACATAGGGCTGCATATGTCTTTTTGAATCAGGGATCTTGTGTTCTTTGGGTAAATTCCTAGGTGTGGAATTGCTGGGTCAAATGGTATTTCTATTTTTAGTTTTCCTAGGGACCTCCATATTGCTTTCCACAATGGTTGAAGTAATTTACATTCCCACCAACAATATAAGAGGATTCCTCTTTCCCCTCATCCTCACCAGCATTTGTTCTTTATTGTCTTTTGGATATTGGCCATCCTAACTGGTGTGAGGTGATACCACATTGTGGTTTTAAGTTGCATTTCCCTGATTATTCATCCTTTCTTGAACTCACTTCAGTCAATCATTCATCCCCATCACTCCACTGAAATTGCTCTTTCTACTCTCCCCATCACCTCCATGTTGCCCCACCCAGGATGCAATTTTCATTTCTCATCTTATTCAACTTCTCAGGGGTATTTGGTACAATTGATCCCTCCCTTGTCTGGACATACTTTTTCACTTGGCTTCTGGAATAACTTATTCTGCTGGTTTTCTTTCTAACTCAATACCTGAAGCTTTATTGACCTCAAAATGTTTGCTCTCTTCTCCATCCATACTCACTCCTCCAAGTTATACGATGTAGTCACTTCATGTATCATTTTAAACTTAAACTGCTTAAGTTCAAGCTTGTTTCACCAGCTTTCATCTCTCTGTTGAATACCTTTCATGTATTCAACTGTCATTCAGCTGTCTATTAGACAGATTAACCTAAAAAAAAAGGAAACTAAAGCACAGAAGAATGAAGCACTTTCCCAGGGCAACATATGTTGTAAGAGAAAAAGCCAGGATTCAAATCTATGGCGTCTGGCTGGTGAGCCAGTGTTTTCCCTGGAATTTCCTGCTCTTGATCATTATGTCCTACTATTATGGTCAAATCCTTGGAATCTGAAAGAATCTTTGGAGAAGTCTAAATCCCTTCTCTGGACCTAAGCCTCCTCTGATTTGAAGTTGGTAAATTAAGGAGAATCATGGCTTGATCATGAGACCCGTTCCACATTCTCCTTTCCCGTCAGCCAGTCTAGAGCTGGACTATCAAGACTTTCGAAAGGAAGGGATGAGAATGAGGGGCTTGAAGAGGGAGCTGCTGGGTACTTACAGAACAGGGACACCACCACCTCGTCATGGGTGGGAGAAGTTGTTGAAAGTTATTTTATGATCATAAAAATGATTCCTTGTTGCTTTGTGGGCAATGTGGGATGTGAAAAGGGGAATGAGATGATAAAAGGAAGGAGGGGAGGAAAATAAAGAGGGAGGGAAGAAGAGATGGAGGGAGGGGAAGCGGGAGAAAGCATAAAGCAAAGAATATGGGAGAGGCTGGGGAGGGCAGGTGGTGGGCTGCAGGGAAGCTCTCCAGGAGCGTTAGGCTTTGCCTGTGTTTGGGATCGGCTGCTCTGAGCTGATTGCTGCTGAATTCTCTTCCAGCTCCACTCTGCGGACAAACCGGTGAGTTGTTCTTCCCTTTCTCCTTCATGCTCCGTGAGTGTCTTGTCACTTGGGCCGGAGCAGGAGGCCTGTGCATGGCCGTCTCACCTCTGCTGAAGCTGCTGCGGTTCACATGTGACAGCGGCTCCCTGGGGCTGGGGCTGCCTGTGTTCACACAGGTTTCTGCACCCAAACCCCACCTGCTCAGCTGGGGCAAGTCTTGCTCTGACCTTCTCAAGA